TAACCAAATTTAACTGCTTCAAAGAGTTGATAAATAACTGTTTTGAAAAATGGACAATACAGTTTTTCAAGACATCTAAAACAACTTACTTTCACAACTGGATATTTCAAAGAATTGGCAACTACCTGTTTCAAAGATTTGGAAATAATAGTATCATAGAGTTAACTTATTTCATAGAGTTGACAACCTGTTTCAAAGAATGGACAAATTTCTGTTTTACACTTTGAAACTAACCTTTTTGGGACAAACCATGACCAGGAACACAGGATCTTTACATAGCATGTGCTGTTAGATAAACTGTAACTGGTTTGACCTTTTTCAGTTGAATATTTACATTATTTATTAAAATGAAATAAACAAATAAAAATGCATTCTGATTACTCTGGGATATTCAAAGACCACCTGAAGGATGAAAAATAAACATTCAAATCAACATTTATGTACATTTATCTCAAATTTACATAGAAATTATTTAATGTGATTGATATTGAGATGAGCCCTGTTGCCGTGGCAATCAGAGGGAGCATCTCACAACAGTAGGAGGCAGTAATACAGCTCTTCAGATAAACATGCAGGCACTTCCGTCAGTTTTTTGTCTTGATGTGAAAATATATCAGCGTTTGTAGTCGCCACACCTTTGCTCACTGATTAGCTTGCGCAAAACGAAAAAGAGAAGACGTAGATTCTTTGGCTGGATCACAGATAAAAAGTGCTGCGGATCTTCCTCTGTCATAATTCAGTCTTTCAGCTTAGGTGGTGAATACAGTTTTTGGGTAAAGGTTAAGACTGCCGATGTTAAACTTTTTCACATTCTTAAACAGTGAGCTTGCGTGCGTGTGGGGATTTGATTTCAAGATTTTAAAAAGTCTATAAAACTGAAAAAGTAATCAGGTTGATGTGATAGTGCTGTTATTTTGGTTAACCCACTGATACCATCCTTACATTGTCAGCAAGCTGGTGAATTAGTGAGTTTAGTTTTAGGAATATCACTGTGGGGGGACACCAGAAATGGGCTTCACACATTGTTCACATGTGGGGAATCGAACCCAAGTCTTGGTTGTGACAAGGGAATGATTTAACCACTAGGCTACCCCACCACACTGTCAGCATGCTGGAGGGGTTGATTTCTTTGGTCATATGGACAAGTCTTCTGACCTCATATCAGAAAGTCTGTGGTTTAAATTACATCATGACACTCAGGCGTATTATGGCCACTACATAGGCAGGGCTCAGCATGTTCATATTGAATTTGAGGAAAATAAGTTCCAGTATACTATACTACCCATCAAAAGTTTAGACACACTTAAAGCACTCACTATATGTTATGTATATATGTATGGTCACATCGAATCTGAATTTCTCCCCTAACTTGGGGGAACCAACTGAAAACCTTATGCAGATGAATTGCACGAGGATCATGCATCAAATTGCTCTAAAACATGTGCAAATATCATGCATGTGAACAGCTGCGTTTTGGTGTAAAGTTTTGTTACTAATTCGTCAATTTTCACTGAGCTTCATCGTTTATTGAACTCATGACAATAATCTTTTCAATGGTACAAATGTGTTTTACAATACATTGGTTCATGTGTAAACAGTACCTTTACACAGTATGGAAAGTTTTGCAAAATTTATTTTAGAACAGTTGACTTAAGTAAATGGCTACATTTACACTAGTGAGTCTAAACTTTTGATGGGCAGTATATGTGGCCTGGGACATGCCTTCTGTAGACAGAGTATCATCTTCATCATCACATTGACAACTTGTTGACTAGATTAACCTTTTTGGACATGTTGACAAGGCCTCTGATGTCGGATCAGAAGGTTTGAATCCCATCATGGGACTAAGAAATTTATGTCCTCTACAGAGACAAATTGTAAGTAGTTAATTCATTGATATTGGTAAGATCTTTCAGACATCTCTCGAGGGATTTACAGGACGCGAATTCCTGCGTCCTATACTCATAAATATTGACAATGGACCCAACAAAATTTATTAGCGCGTCCACAGGGACTCAGAAAAAGTCCAAATACATTTTGTAAAAATTCCAATCAAGTGACAATAAGTTATCACTAAGTTTGCTACTAGCTGGGTTATGGTAGTATTTGCAATTTAATTACTGTAACAATTTGATGATCATGATACACAATGCAATAACAGTATTAATAATAATAAACTAAGTGTCTGGACCCCCATTGTGTTGTCCAGGACCCCTGAAAATAAATAGTATGGGTCCCAGGGACCCTCAAATACAGGACTCAAGGTCAATCCCTGTCTCTCCCTCATCATTACTTGTTTAGACATTGTCTTATTATTTAAATCAATAGACAATGCCTGCATTTTTAGCTGCCATCTCATAGAATGATCTTTGTTCAGTTTTACTTTGAGTTTAAACATAAAAATAATATTGTTGCTGTTTTGTGGGATTTCAGTCACACAGTCATGACTCGGGTTGAAACTGCCCTTCTCAGCCAAGACCAAGCACAGACATTATGATATTCATGCCACTATTTCAGCCTCAAGACCTTAGATTAGACCCTGTCAGAAAGCAGGCATGTAAAATGCACTAACATTTCCTTGATCCAAGCAATGGATCAGAAACTGTATGAAGTTTATCAAAAGAAATTGTTCAAACTGTATGTGCTACTAGTAAATCATACGCTTTTGTATGAAGTACAGTTGTAGGCAGATATATCAGTGAGTGCTTCCACCATGTCTTGACATCGAGGTTCCAGGGTGTATTGAATTGAGATAATGGAATTCAGTTGATTGGAACATTGTAGTTTCTGTTACAGTGAAATTAATGCTCTATCCTAAGAATGAAAACATGTTTGTGTTTGAAAAGTTTGTTTTTTTTTAAATTTACAAAAGAAGTTTAAATCAATGTCTCTGGATATACTTCAGTCTTTTCATATCTTTGTAAGATGTAAAGAATTTTTAGGAGACTTTTAGCAGTATTGTATGTAGGAATATCAACTCTCCCACAGATCACCACCATAAAAAAAATATGTGTTTCCATGCTGTGCAGACCTGTTGATTATTCAGACATAAATTGCCTTCATGATTCTTGTCGAGTAAGGTATGTTTTAATATGAAGAGCCCAAAATTAATAGATTATCTTGAATATGTCTTTGAAGTAGATTGAAAGTAATCTCAGTTAAAATTATCGCAGAAGAAGTGAATAATAACACTGTACAAAAGTATCCTTTGTGGACATGTGTTGAATGTTTGTCCACCAGGTATATATGTATGTTTGTATTCATCACCACTGAAGTCTCATTATAGTCAGACCTGTGAAGATCTGGGTTAGAACTGATCTTCGGTAACCCATGCTTGTCTTAAGAGCCAACTAACGGGATTGGGTGGTCAGGCTTGCTGATTTGGTTGACACATATAATCAGATCCCAATTGCGTAGATCAATGCTCATGCTGTTGACCACTGGATTGTCTGGTCCAGACTCGATTATTTACAGACTGCCACCATACAACTGGAATATTGCTGCATGCGGTGTGAACTAAACTCACTTACTTGCTCTCTCATTAAAGTCAGATACCTCTCTTCAGACAGGGTATTTCCTTAGGAAGTCAAGTCAACATTGTAACCAAGCAATCCATATCAAGGACTTTAAGTTATGGGTACAAGGGACCCAAACATTTGGACAATGGTGTCTGCTTCCTCTATTTCTAAAAGAAATATAATTAAGGAAATCAGAATTAAATGTGTTGTTAGTTATCATGGTGGCCGAGTTAAGGGAAAATCGAATGTGAACAGTTTGGTCACAGTCGCTTCAGTAAGGATACATATCATTCTTCCATTTGGATTAATTCCACTGAATTTGTGCATTTTGTACCTGACTTCACTTACAGGAAGCTGTAATCTACAAAGTTTGTTGTCCACGAGTATGCCTGGTTCTCATTCTAATACTATTATGCAATCAGGTGTATCCTTGTTTCATAATAATATGTAAAATAATGGTGATATTGACGCAGTGGAAGCAAGTCTTTATAAAGGATACTTTTGAAATTATTGCTCCATGGATAGGTGCATTGGGGATTATACAGAACTGTTCAGAGGCCAGTATTTGGCCCAATGTTTGCAGCTATGTCCATATTTCCATATTCATGTGAATGCACTTAGAATTAATATTTTGGCTGTATAGAAGTGATCTGTAAGTCGTTGATTATGGAGGGGGAGACTTTGGATTTTCTGCTCCAATGAATGAGTGACTGAGTGAGTATGGTTTGATGCTGCTATAGCAAGCAATGTTCCAGGAATATTCACAGAATTGGTGTCACACATTGTACCAATGTGGGTCTTCATTGTGATGAGCCAAGGCTATAACACTAGGCAACCCCCCTTCCCTTTTTTAGGTTCAGGTTTTATAATCATCTGGCTATCATTATATTAGAAACTGCAGAGTTAAACAGCATTGACTGACACACTCAAGCCATTTCTGGTGACCACTTTATACTTACTATGAATCACTGATTTGACTGGTCCAGGTAATATTATCAACTGATCTATCATGATATTATGGATTGCACTGTTAAACAGCATTTGCTGACACACTCAAGCCATTTCTGGTGATCACTTTATCCACATGTGGAAACCGTGGTGGCTGAGTGGGTTAGATGGCTGACTCTAAGAGTGTGGGTTTATATCCCAGATGGGACTCAACCCAGCAGAAGTACTAGAATCTGTACTTTACTGAGAAGGTGTAATCCCCAATACATGTACAACATGTATTATGTAATCGGTAGGATGTCTTCACAGACCGCATTACCAAACAGCTATGATATTGCATATATGAAGTAGCTGATATAATTACATCATTAGCGTTAGATAGTTATGTTGCTCAGTTTCTTCTTAATGTGATATACCTTGCCTCGTAAAAGTGGCACCATTGTTTCCTGTAATTAATTTAAACCCACCTTGTTTCTTTTCCACTATTTCCCATTAGGCAGTATATTTAATCAAGTGACATGTTTTCTCTCCCAGACATTGACGAGTGTGCCCTGGGTATATCGTCCTGTCGTGGACACTCCGTCTGTATTAACCAGCCGGGATGGTACCAGTGTGACTGTCTTGAAGGTTTCCATAGCAACTGGCCAGACAACCATTATGGCAGCCTCTGTCTAGGTACCAAATGAGCATGCATAGTGTTATTGCTAATGTGTGTGTTAATTATGTGTTAATGAATGTATACTTCTTGGAAGTAGATAATTTTCACTGTGTTTGACACCGTGTGTCTGTGTTACCTGTGACAGGCAAGTGCAGGTGTGATAACTGTGGGAGTATATATAGGTATGCTTGATTGTGTGTAAACTGAGGCAGGTGTGGTGTGTGTCAGAGTATATGTATGCATGATTGTGTGTAAACTGATGCAGGTGTGGTGTGTGTCAGAGTATATGTATGCATGCTTGTGTGTAAACTGATGCAGGTGTGGTATGTTTCAGAGTATATGTATGCATGCTTGTGTGTAAACTGATGCAGGTGTGGTGTGTGTCAGAGTATATGTATGCATGCTTGTGTGTAAACTGATGCAGGTGTGGTATGTGTCAGAGTATATGTATGCATGCTTGTGTGTAAACTGATGCAGGTGTGGTACGTGTCTGAGTACATGTATGCATGCTTGTGTGTAAACTGATGCAGGTGTGGTATGTGTCTGAGTACATGTATGCATGCTTGTGTGTAAACTGATGCAGGTGTGGTGTGTGTCAGAGTACATATATGCATGCTTGTGTGTAAACTGATGCAGGTGTGGTATGTGTCAGTATATGTATGCATGCTAGTGTGTGATGCAGGTGTGGTGGTATGAGTCAGAGTATATGTATGCATGTTAGTGTGTAAACTGATGCAGGTGTGGTATGTGTCAGAGTATATGTATGCATGTTAGTGTGTAAACTGATGCAGGTGTGGTGTGTGTCAGAGTGCATGTATGCATGTTAGTGTGTAAACTGATGCAGGTGTGGTGTGTGTCAGAGTATATGTATGCATGCATGTCTGTAAACTGATGCAGGTGTGGTATGTGTCAGAGTATATGTATGCATGCTTGTGTGTAAACTGATGCAGGTGTGGTATGTGTCAGAGTATATGTATGCATGCTTGTGTGTAAACTGATGCAGGTGTGGTGTGTGTCAGAGTTCATGTATGCATGTTTGTGTGTAAACTGATGCAGGTGTGGTATGTGTCAGAGTATATGTATGCATGCTTGTGTGTAAACTGATGCAGGTGTGGTGTGTGTCAGAGTTCATGTATGCATGTTAGTGTGTAAACTGATGCAGGTGTGGTATGTGTCAGAGTATATGTATGCATGCTTGTGTGTAAACTGATGCAGGTGTGGTGTGTGTCAGAGTTCATGTATGCATGTTAGTGTGTAAACTGATGCAGGTGTGGTATGTGTCAGAGTATATGTATGCATGCTTGTGTGTAAACTGATGCAGGTGTGGTATGTGTCAGAGTACATGTATGCATGCATGCATTCCATTTTGAATGTATTGGCATGTCTGTCCACTGTGTGTTATGTAAAATAGGAAGTAGAAGTGTTTAAACTTTTGAATGTCTGTCTAGCGTGTACAGTGCTATGTGAAATAGGAAGTAGAAGTGTTTAACCTTTTGGATGTATTGAAATGTCTGTCTACTGTGTGTTATGTGAAACAGGAAGTAGAAATGTTTAACATTTTGAATGTCTGTCTACTGTGTGTTATGTGAAATAGGAAGAAGAAATGTTTAACCTTTTGAATGTATTGGAATGTCTGACTACCCTGTGCAGTATTATGTGAAATAGGAAGTAGTATGTGCAATTTTCTTTGTTGTGTGGTTCTATCACAATTTGTTTTTTAGGGGTGATATCTGTTCCTGTAGTTATCCAGTGGTATTTCTTACAGTTTCCGTTATCTCATTCTCTGTGTTTGTTGATTGGAGTTGCTTCACGCCTCATTTGACTGGATACTTTGTTCATTTATTAAAGCTGTGTTGTTCGTTGACCCTGAATTGTTGTCTGTAGATGAGCATTTCAACCCACAGCCCAGCGGCCCTACGACTGAAACACCTCAGTTGCCAGATATAGCCATGTGGAATGCATGTTTGCTTCTAATTATCATTAATTTTTTAACATGTTCCCATTGTTTTATTGATGTTATATTGCCTGTGCCATATTATGTTTGCATTTTACAGACCTTCTTGTCAATATGTCAAGAGGAAAAATAGAAATCTAGTCATCAAGGTTGATTTGAAATATATATCTTGGAAAGTCATCATGTTTAGATCTTGTTCAAACTGCATGTAAATAATTGCCTTTTTCACATAATCAGTAGTTAACGAGTGTGTAGAACAAGGAAATGAATTGGTATCATCTTATGTCTGTTATGGCTGGCCAGCAAGGCAACTGCAATTTGTTGATCATGAATACACTTGTATATTTAAATCTTTAAAAAAGGTTTATCAGTAGGAAGTTTGCCAATGGATATAGATCATTCTGGGTAAACTGTCTGGGAAAGCTATTGTCAACAAGAAACATCCATAATGTTATTACCAAGCAAGGATATGTCTGGATAAAACTAACTGATCTTTAAACTTTGTTAGACCAATGTCTGGACACTGATGTAATGATCTGATCTGCTGAATCAGCTGCTTAATAACAAAAGCATATATATCAAGAATAACAGGTTTCCATGGATACACGAAGTCTGTTAGCCTCATGTTATTTTGATGGTGTGTGTATAATCATGCTTCTTCAGTTTCCACCATCAGTTACACTTTCATGTGAAGCTGTGAAATTAAAACTGTTTCATTTGAGAGTAAATTTTAAATAAGCCTTATGTATGTAGAAAGAAATGAATTTCAAAACCTGAACAAGTTTTGACTCACTACTTTACTTGCTTTGATCTAATTGTTAGATATGTTACAAATGAATCTGTACAGTTCATGGAAGAAGGGAGGTAACTCCAGATTGCTTAGTTTTTGTGTGTGCTTTTGATAAAACAGGTGGTATCAGATAGATATATTTAAAACTTCAAAAAAATATGTAAAAAAGCATCTTTATGAGAAGACTTATCATATTTTGTCGAAAAAGATGAAGAAAATGGCATTCAAATTTTGATTTTGTCCAGATGTGTTGTGGATGCTTCTTTTACTCGGTTCTCAAAGAATTTATTTTAACCATTTATCAGTTCTCAAAGATGAAAAGAATGAGATAAGCAAACAACTTGAAATGTATCTTTTGAATGATTCCACAACTGATATTTCTATTTATGTAAACATTTGAGTTGACTTTTTAACTTTTACCAGATTAAAGGTCAAAGGCCAAATGATAAAAAAATAGGATCTTATATTTTATGGATGGTTTAACATATAGCTGATGTTTTTGTAAGAAAATTAACTTTATGCTATTTATACTTAAAACATTATGTTTTGAAAAAAATGTTATTTTCCACCAGGGCTAATCACACTAATTGTAATGAATATGAATTTTGTCTGCAGATATTAATGAATGTGCGGGAGAAGGAAATGGCCACACATGTCATCCCACAATGCATTGCATCAATGAGGAAGGGTCGTATCAGTGTGGATGTATCAACAACAGCACGTGTCTGAAAAGTAAGTAGTGTGTGGGTGTTGAAGCTGACCATGCAGAAATACAGGAATGTGAACAAAGCTACCTTTTGCATGCAGGTTTCATATTCTCCTTTGAATCAAACACATCAGTTAATTAGTTGTGTTATTTATTGGTTTATATCAATAAAGATTTAGTTTAAATTGTCGTGGGTGGCATTTTAAGATTTTTTAGGATTGGAAAATTTATAATAAATTGTTACTGACAAACAGTAATTTAGTTCTTTGAAGGTCACTTAAAAGTGATGAACATGAGACAAAGTTATTTTTTCAATTAATTCCTTATTTGGTAAACACAATGTTTTGGAGTTAATTCTTCCTCCATCTTTTGGTAGGTATTAGACTGCCTGGTATAGATTGTATTAGGTTTTAGACTGACTAGATTGTGTTGTGTTTTTGACTGACTGATAGAGATTGTATTAGGTTTTAGACTGACTAGATTGTGTAAGGTTTTTGTCTGACTGATAGAGATTGTATTAGGTTTTAGACTGACTAGATAATGTGTTAGGTTTTTGACTGACTGATATTGATTGTATTAGGTTTAAGACTGACTAGATCGTGTTAGGTTTTTTGACTGACTGATATTGATTGTATTAGGTTTTAGACTGACTAGATTGTGTGAGGTTTTTGACTGACTGGTAGGATTTAGGCTGATAAAGATTGTATTAGATTTGAGACTGACTGGTATATATTGTGTTAGGTTTTAGACTGACTGGTATATATTGTTTTGGGTCTAAGAATAGGATAGTTTAGACTGTGTTAGTTTTAAGATGGACAGATTCTGATGTAGACTGTGTGAAGATTCAGACAGCTTGATGTAAATTGTGCTTTGTTTCAGACTGCTTGTTCGAGGGCCAGGAGCACAAGAATGGTGACACGTGGCTCTCCACAGTGGACAAGTGTCTTTCTTGTACCTGTCAGGTATTCAGCTTGTTTGTGCTTTCTTATACCATTTCCAAAACGTCAATCAGAAAGTGTCTCTTCATGAAATTTTGTGTACTCATCAGTTATGGTGTGACTGGTGCCTTTGGCCATTTATGAATTTTTGTATGTTTATTTGTTGTTTTACTTCTAAGAAAACAAATTCAGTTTAAACTGGGGTAGGGTTGGTTTCAGTTATGTACGTCATTAATTAACATTTCTTCATGAAAAACTGCAGAAAATATTCATGATGCCTAAATTTTTGTTCAATGTATGATTGGGTTTTTGATATCAAAATCTCTTCATAGATTAATTGAAAAGTCTTGTGTAGTCAAATGAAGAGATGGGAAGTAGATTTTACTGGGGCTTCATTAAATTTTTGTGTTGATGTTGCAGTCTGGAGTAACCACCTGCCACAAGAAGGATTGTGAGTGCTCTGACCCTGAGGTGGACAATGACTGCTGTCCATTTTGTAACCTAACTGCCCAGTGCCCCCACCAAGAGTTCTCCTTCTTCATGCAGAATGGGGAGAGGTGGACCTTCCAGTGTCAAACCTGCGAGTGTCTGGTGAGTTGTGTCAGGCCTGCGAGTGTCTGGTGAGTTGTGTCAGACCTGTGAGTGTCTGGTGAGTTGTGTCAGACCTTTGAGTGTCTGGTGAGTTGTGTCAGACCATCTGAGCGTCTGGTGAGTTGTGTCAGACCTGTGAGTGTCTGGTGAGTTGTGTCAGACCTTTGAGTGTCTGGTGAGTTGTGTCAGACCTGTGAGTGTCTGGTGAGTTGTGTCAGACCTGTGAGTGTCTGGTGAGTTGTGTCAGTCCTGCAAGTTTCTGGTGACTTGTGTCAGACCTGTGAGTGTTTGGTGAGTTGTGTCAGACCTGGGAGAGTCTGTTAGTGACTGGTGACCACAAACACATGATAACGCATGGTAACACAGGTGACAATGTCCTCTGTTTTAGCAAGGAGAGGTAGATTGCTGGCCTCTGGAATGCCCTGAGGATCGGTGTCACAACATGGTGCAGGAGAAGGGAGACTGTTGCCCACGCTGCATCGATGACAACCCCTGCATCAACCCTAACCTTGGTCTGGGAGGACAGGACCACTCCACAGCAAAGTGCATGTATCTGAATCATCAGTTCGGACACGGAGACTCCTGGGTGCTGGAGAGTGACAAGTGTACATCCTGCGAATGCAAGGTAGACTTGTGAGCTGACACAGAAACTGGAGTAGTTGTCTTGAAAACATACTGGCACTGTCAAATATACTGGCCACTTTCATATGCTCCCCATTTTCATACATACTACCAACAGTCATATCTATCATTCTGTGACAGAGTAGTAAGTTCAGTTTTGTTGAGAGATGATAACACTGATGTTCTGTTGCAGGCTGGTCACATCTGTTGTTCCTTCAACCAAACCTGCTATGCTGAAGCTGGTCTACCTACTGCCGCCCCCGAAGACCAGATCTCCCTGGGATAGTATCATCCAGCTGAAGCTGACCTGGACCAGATCAAACCAGATCATCCCATTTGGACCAGATCAGACTGGTCAACTGTGCTATGACCAGATAAGACTTGATTAATCTGGAGTGATCCACATTGGACCAGATAATCACTTTGCTAAGATCAGATAAATATCTGGTATGACTATAGATATTGTTTTATTTTGTTTCCTGTTGACTGACTGAAATATGTTTTGCACTTTGAATTTTGACAGTTGTAATGTTGTTTAAAATGTACCTCAGACTCTGCATCAGCTTGATCTGCTCTTCCCTGTAGAACATTTATACAGAACATTCAGCTGCTCATACCTGTCTGGGATCAGACATGAGGAGCAGGATGTCAGGTTTTGAAAACTCATGAGATGTGACATCTGGTCGGGCTACAACGGGGACAAAAGACTACATAGAAGAATTGTATCTTTGTTATGAATCCAAAAATAATGGCATTGTTTTCTTTCATGAATCCAAAAAGAATGACATTTCTGATCAGAATGCTCTTGATCCTGCTCCTTCAGAACAGCTGATGTGTTTTGTCTGCTTGGAAGGTTGTTGAGATTCTGCTCCAAATTCAAAATATTAGGTGTGTGGAAACTGAATATACTCCTGATCCAAATTAATGCAACATCTAGAACAGAGCACAGAGTTGAAACAGTATCCAACAGAGGCAACAGTTCCTGAGCAGAATGATCCCAGTTCCTTGTCTTGGTGTTTGAGTCAGGGCTGTTTCCAACTGTCCTACCCAAGGTACTACATTATGAGAGGCTAGATAGATCTGACATTGTCATGATACTGAGAGCAGTGTTGAGTGCACTGAAGTCTGGAATTTGTGCACAACTTGTTGCTATCACCGTGCATGTAATATTGTGATATGAGATGTGTTAAAGACACATCAAGATGATACTTGTCAGAGATTACTATTTGTCTTGAAACAGCTGAAAGAATAGTTTGTTTTGGAAATGTGTTTTTAGGGATAATCAATGAATAATGAAATTACGCGTGATATTTTGGATATACATGTTGGGTATATGAGACCTTCACTAAATTTCATGGAATTGAGATACCATGATGACCCAATTTACTTTGTGTATGTGATCACTATTGCTCCAAATCGATGAATATTATATTGATGCAAAATTTGTAGTATGTTTTCTTCTTTTTAAATTAGACTAAGTTGTGATTAGAACAGTTAGTTTAGTGTGGAAAATGATGACTTAAGTAATATTTGAATCTTGTCTGACAAGTATTCTTGCTATGACACAATTATGATATTACTGTTTTCGTCACAGTGTGTGAGATGATAACAGCCTTACCTCAATGGATGTATACGGTAGATACCTACAGTTTAGCTGTTTGCTTTCTATTGTAATATATTTGAATTTCATGTTTTTTATAGTTCATTTATGAATGAGTTTTGTTCATGATTTTGATATTATGTATCATAGAATTCTCATTGCATAATTTACATAATTGCATATTATTCTCAGATAATGCATGTGATAGTTCATAATTTCAATAGTATGGTTGTCATTAATTAATTAATAAGTATTGATCATAGTTACCATCAAGATATATAAAAAGCTTTCTGGGTTTTTGTGCTTGTTTCAGTGCAGCTTTACTTCCTAGTGTACAAGGGATAGCTTTAAACTTAACTGAATTAATCATTTTTTGTATAGAACATGTATAGTTGGTGTTTAAAAAAGTGATGGAATATATTTTTAAACATAAATATAAAGATATAATAATAATTTTGAAATTGTTCTTATAATGTCTATTTGTTGTTTAACAATAGGTTAGACTAAGTGGTGGATACAAATTTGAAAAGAAATTAGATTCTGGGAAACTCATTGTATTTTTAGTGAAAGTATTTAGTATTGTCTTTTAGTGATGATAAAGAATGGTATTTACCAGTTAAAATATCATCATTTAGTTATCTCAAACAGATAGAATATACTATTCCATACCAGGTTGGAAGACTTCAGTCCAAAGAAATGTGCTGATGTGCATCCTCATAGCTGAAGTATGCAGTTTATATTATTGTTATACTAAACTCGGCTTATAATGTGGCTTTTGTATGTCCCTATGTTGTACAACCCGATGAGACTGGTTAGTGATGTTTGTAGATACATGTTGACATACTTGAATACCCAGTTTTCTTGTTTCAGTATTTCATCTGTGTAATATATCTCAGCTAATTGCTTTAGTTGAGATTAACAGTGTTAGAATGATAAATTGTATTTGTTTATGATTGTAAAGCTGTAATTTGGAGATTTTATGTTACTGACTTTTCGGTTGTAGATGCTGCATGTTAAATACAACATACTGAACGTCCAGTTATGTTGACAAAAATATAGTTGGGCTAATTTCTTTTCGATTGTAAATGCAACCTTTTCATTATAGTCTGTTTGCAGTGAAAACGTACTGATGAATTTCACTTCAAACAAAAAAAGTAAATGGATTAAAGTGAAATTAAGATTGTGAATCCTCATAATCTCACCTTGCCAGTTGAACATTTAAATCTCAACATTTTATTCAACTTAGGATAAAAGTTGTTTAACAAAAGATCATAGTTTCAAATCGCTATTATTGGTTTCTATTACAAGGGAGTATGTACATTAAATGAAACACTGAGAAGAAGTAGGGGTGGTCTAAGTTAACGCTCATCACGTACCACACGTGCATTTGTTTCACTGTTCCATCTACTGCGCTTACCCCCTTCTAAGTTGAATAAAATCCTGAGATTTAAATGTTTAATTGGCAAGGTAAAATTATGAGAATTCGCGATCTTAATTTCACTTCATTTCACTTACTTTTTTTCTTTAAAGTGAAATTAATCGGTACGTTTTCACTGTAAACAGACTATAGTAAGCATTGAGATGAAACATATCAGTTAGTACAGATATAAATGTATCATTTCACAAAACCGGTCTAAAAAGGAAAGGCAGTTCTTGTTAAAATCTCTCAGCCACATTATTTCTGTCCTGTTTCTTTATTGTACTGCTAGTCACTGGGCTCCTTTTCACTTTATATGTACAGTTGTTTGTTTCTATCAAAATTATACATTTTCAGTGATTAATTTTTAGTCCACATGAAAGCTTATGATATAAAAGAAGTCTTTATATGATGTTTTTATGGAACATTTTCTTAATCTGGCCTTTAAAAAATTTGAAGCACATTTTGTTTTGTTGGTTAATTTTCATCCTGTGAATTCAGTAAGTTTGGTTTTTTACTGTTTGTCTCTTTGTGACATGTCCTATCCGCTTAGGAACAATACTTGGCATTTTCTGTGTGAGGCTGGTGTCGGTGTGAAAGCCGCTAGTATTGTAAACAATTTAAAGAAATTTATGTGATCACAAATCAAGAATAAAATGCTAAAACACTTTGAGAATTAAAGTTGCAAACTGACAAATTATTTTTGCACGAGTAACTAAGCTTTAAGCACCTGTTAGTTATAAAGTTTTGTCTTTAAAATGTGTTTTTCTATAGTGTGTTGAATGATGTTTTCATGAAGTTGTATTGTCATGATGCATGCAGACCCTCTCTAAATATTATTTATTACTTGCTAATAGTTGTATATGTTGTCTTCTTTGGCCAGATGTTAGTGTTTATCAGATCAGTTTAACCAACTGCCAAATGTTATGTTAAACATTTTCTTCTTTCTAATGATCTTAACGTTGTATATAAATTTTTGTGATTTTTTAAGGTTTCATTTAAACTCAAGATGATTCTGGGAGAAAGTAAGTGAACATGATTTTATTCTGCATTTAAGTTGGAAAATGTACTCAGTGTGAATTTTTGGTTCCATTGGGAATCTGATTTTGTTGCATATTTAGCATTTAATTCCCTAATTTAATGGTGCTTATTTATGATAAGTCTTATGTTGTTGTATGATTTATATCATATTGGGGTTTTCTACCAATTACCTCTCAGTTAACATACCAGAAATGTGGTACATGTTTAAATCTATTGACAATGCTATCTTGTATTTGGTTGACTTTGAAAATAAAATTTAATTGTAATTGTAAATTTTTGTTTCAGAGTATGTTAATTTTTTTACTGAATTGTGTATTGTTTCAATGTTCAATGCTGTCCATGAATTCACAGTGTAATTAAACTTAGGCTCAGTATTATTCAAATGTTTGTATGTATTTATGTATGTAGTAGAAGGTTGCGTCAGCTAACCTTTTGGACTGACCAAACAGAACACAGCTTACCAAATCACGAAAGTAAACATTGGCACATACCATATGAACCTTTACCTCAAAAACTCAAACGATTCCGAATGCTATTTTCCGCACGATCACTTCCGAGTGATACACTCAATGAGTAAACAGTCGCTGAAAATAGCGTTTTTGTCAATATTCAAGGATTTCATCTTGCGAAAATATAAGCAAATAGTAACCATGTTATTAGAAACCCATAAGCGTATATACTGCAGGTAAAATATCTGTGTTTTATGCAGATTTTCATTTGTTGATAGATCAGTGTTAGTGACCAGGGAAGAGAAAATCCAAAAACCGTTTTGTAAGTCCCGTCGAACTCTAACAAGTAGTCGTTGTCTGGTTAATTAAATCCGTTCGGCCGTCTCGCGTTTGATTGGACAGTCATAGGTCGCTCAAAGGCTAGCTGACTTCTACTAGGTTTTGTTGGACTCAGTTTAGCAGTGTAACGAATAATACTGAGCCTAAGTTTACTTAGACTGATGAATTCATGGTTCAATTTAATTTTCTTTATTAAACTTGGGTTCATGATAAATGGTAAGGGGCTGTTCTCTTCCATCAACCTGTTCAGAACTGTTATTGTGATGAAAGGGATTTTATGCAATAATTCCAGTTAAATCAGTTAATGCACATTTCTGATATGTTGACTGCAAGATCTCATCATTGCCATAGTGAACCAATGCTTGCGGTACTGTTGTCTCGCCCCCGCGGGGGCACATTCTGGGTTATTGGTGCCATACTTAATGTCAAATGGAGAAAAAACACTGTTTCTGAACAAAACAAAATCTGACCTCATCTCCTTGTTGTGTTATACCCTGTAACGAAGCTGTAAGCCTTTGTGACCATAATGCATCACAATGTATATTTAACAATGTTTTTTTGAATTTACTGGATGAATATTGTTCAGTGCTAGTTGTTGAATTACCACGCAATGCTAAGAGAGTGTGTAGCTTCTGAGTGTACAGCTGCAGTGGTGGCACTAACTACACTAAGGTCAGGCCCTGATTTCTCGAAACAAACTTAGGTTTGTACTCAAATATCAAACTGAGTTTGACAATTTGAAACAGCTGCATTTTTAAGATAAAAAAGCCCAAACAACTTAACTATTCTGTTCACCAAACTCAAATTGTCTACAATGTTTGAGTTTAATATCGATTTCAGTTCAACAATGGGAAATGCTTTTTCTCAAATTTGAGTAAAAATTT